TCCACCTGCAAGTGTCCATAAATTTATTTCCTTCCAAATTTAGGGTTAATTATAGCCAAATGTTGAGGAAATCTACTAAAGAAAATGTGAACCAGTGTACAATTTACATCTATGTATTAGAAAATAAATATACTATTACTATACTTACTATACTTGTACTATTTTTTTTCCAAAAACAGAAGTAAAAAGGTGAGTAAATATCACACTAACATTGTGAAGTTGGCCAGAAATATGACTCCAAACCACTGCTAATATTTTGCATTTGCTGAATGTGTAGCAGTAATCTGTTTGCTAACTGGTTAGCCATAATGATTTTGTGCTAAAATTAAGTAAATATTGTAGTTAGATAGAGATAAAACTGCATTAGAATTAATTAACTTCATTTGACATCGTCATCTGTACTAGTACTCTAATCAGAGGTTTTTGTATTTGCTTGTTTGTTTTTGTTTAATTGTAACACAAAATAGCAAGTAGATACAGGAAATTTCCAAAAGAGATGTAGTGGTTTTTTACATTTTGGTTTGTGTGTGTGTGTGTGGGTGCATTCAACTATGTTCAGTCTGGTACATGAAATGGAGGGAGGGGGGAGTAATTAAAATATATGATAGGAAAAGGTAAAAGGAGAAAAAGAAGTTGAAAAATCAATAATAAACATAAATTTCAGGTGGGGGGGTTGACAGGGGGTTTTAGATAAGCAAAGAAATAATAAAGACTAGGAGTGTACTAGTAATGTTTCTATAATTACATATGTCCACACAGCTGATGACAGGTACAGCTGTAATCTGCAGATAGGTGCTTGTAAAAGAAGAAGAAGAAGAAAAAAGCAAAACTGTGACCACAAAAGGCAACATAGTTTTATTAAGCTCTCATAGTGAGCACCTCTATGACAGTGATATGATGGAGGATACACTAGCTAATGTGATTATTTATTTTTGCTAGTACAGATGAAACTTTAAGAAAAAAAGTCATCTTTAACTGCAAGTTAACTTTTACTTAATAATCACTAGAGGTCTCACATTTTTACTGACTTTATCCCTTTGAATGTCAAAAGACATCATTATGTTGGTGTTTTCAGCTCCACCAGTCACCTTGGCCATATTGTGATTATTTTTGAGCTTTAACATTGTGGTGAACATGAACTTTACAGAAATGTTTTGATTACATCGTCTCTTCGCTCTCTAATAGTTTAGTTACTGTAGCTGTGTGTGTGTGTGTATGTGTTTGCAGTAATAATCAGCTAGGTTACCAACCAGCACCTGCCTTAGCTTGCGAGGCTAGTGTTGTCTGTCAGCACGTTCCTAATCTCCCATTCCAGCATGTCCAGATTCTCTCTCTGTTTTTGAGCAAGCAGACAGAACATTTCATTTGTTATTTTGATTTATTAATGGAAAGATGATGTCATGTAAAAGTGTGTTTGGTTTTTAGAACTGTACTTGTTTCCTGATGGATCTTCATTAAGTTTATTTAAACATTAGGTGTGTGTGGTGGGCTGTCATCTGTGGTTTTGAAGAAGTTTTGCACACCTGACAGATGAGGTGCTCCAGTAGCAGTGTTGAATGACATACTGTTTCCTGTTGGTTACTGTATCTCCTGTGTAAATGTGTCCTGTGTTCCACATCTCTTTAATGTAACGCTCCATCTGACTCCTACTGGTTCCTCCAAGTGCCTATAGGACTTAAGTCCCTCCCCTTTGACCGTTGCAGATTATGTTTGAGGACAGCAGCTGTATGCCTGCTGCCGTGACACAAAAGCAGCATGTGTGCACGCATGCGTACACCCATGTCCATCCAGGCATATTCATAATAAATATTCATGAGCCAACCAAGTGAACTGAGACACAAAGTGAAGCATTCTGCAAGCGATCTGCCAGCTGCTGCCATGTGATATTGCAGAGCTATTCAGTAACTTCTGTCTAATTAGCACAGGGTAAAGGTTGATTGAATGTAGATTTTTTTTTTATTGAGTATAAGGTCAGTATTATAGGCTGTTACCTAACATTTCTTTTTGTTTCTTGTGGTATCATGCAAATAAATTACTGTTATGTTATCTGTACTCAGTATAATCCACACAACATTTGTAAAACTGAAACTATCTGAATTTCTACCACTGTTTACTGTCACTCTACAACAGCATTGCAATAGTATTAACAATGCCCATGTCTCAAATTTCAGCAGCCTTAGCACTACATATGTAAAACCAGAATTGGAAAGTAACTAAGTATATTTTCTAAAGCACTGTATATAAAGACAGTTTTGAAGTAGCTAATATATTTTCATTTTTTGCTACATTTTCATTTTCTGTGACCTGATCTTCATCAAAGTAATAAACAATATTTCTAAGCTGATCAAACAAAATAATTGTGTGTGTGTGTGTGTGTGTGTGTGTGTGTTAGGAACTGAGGACACAGTGATTAAGTATGTCAGGTGTAATTTTGCTAAATTTTTCCTGCAAACAAGTCTTAAGATGGTGCAACAGTCCTGGGTCTTTGTTTACACAATTTGCATTTCAAAATGTGCCACACATTCTCAACTGGGGACAGGTCGGGACTGCAGGCAGGCCAGTCTAGTACTCTCATCCTTTTCCTCCATAGCCAGGCCTTGGTAATGTGTGCAGTATGAGGTTTTGCATTGTCTTGTTGAAATATGCATGGGTGTCCCTGGGAAAGATGTCATCTTGAAGGGAACATACACTGAACAAAATTATAAACGCAGCACTTTTGTGTTTTCCCATTAGGGGACACCACAGCGAATTGTTACACTGATGATTCGCATGTTGACATTTGACACGCGTTTTACGCTGGATGCCCTTCCTGACGCAACCCTGACTCGAACCCAGGCTGATAGACCACTAGTCTATTAGGGAACCCTCATAACTTACATGGTGCCATTAATGCTGAAAATTACAATACATTTTTGGAGCAACATACACTGAACAAAATTATAAATGCAACACCTTTGTGTTTACCCCCATTTTTCATGAGCTGAACTCGAAGATCTATGAGTTTTTCTATGTACAAAAAAGGCCTATGTCTCTCAAATATTGTTAACAAATCTGTCAATCTGTGTTAGTGAGCACATATCCTTTGCTGAGATATCCATCCACCTCACAGATGTGGCATATCAAGATGCTGATTAGACAGCATAATTATTGCACAGGTGTGCCTTAGGCTGGCCA